CCCGGAAAGCATGGCCCCTGGATTCTCTATCAGCCCAGAACTAAGACAATTTCCAAGGCCAACTCTTCAGACAGGGATTGGACTGGACTGTGGGACCGAAAGTGATACTCGTGAGGAGTGTGCCTCTTAGCTCAAGTAGATATAGGAGACTAAATGGGCAGCTTCTGTCCAGAGGTGAGATGGGAAGGCAGAGAGGGTTAGGAGCTGGCTGAATGAACATGGGGAATCAGGGGTGGAAAGGAGGAGTGTGCTGTCACAGTATGGGGAGAGCAATTAGAGTCAGAGTCACATAACAATGTATGTATAAATTTTTGTATGCGGAAAAAAATAGAAAAAAAAAAAAAAAAGAAAATTTACTAAGCCTCTAAAATGTCCAGATTTTAAAAACAGGAGAATTAGGAGACATGCAAAGAAATGAAATTTTACCCATAAAGAGGAAAAAGCAAGAAACAGAAACTGCATGTGAGAATGACCAGATGTCAGATTTAAGACAAAGACTTCAAAGTAATCACTATAAATATACTCAAAGAACTAAAGGAATCCAGGCTTAAAGAAGTAAAGGAGAAAGGTAAACCAAAAGTAAGTAGAAGGAAGAAAATTATAAAAATAAGACCAGAAATCAATCAAAAAGAAAATAATAACAGAGAAAATTAATAAAGACAAAGGTTGGGTCTTTCAAATGATCAACATAATGAATGCAATTTATTGTAGGTGACTTATACCTCGATAAAGTGGATTTAACGAGAAAGCATTCCAGTAGGCATGTCTTGATTTTTTCTTTCATCCAGTAACTGAGATAGTTATGTAGACACATACTTTTCAGGACTAATGTCCAATTATCTTAGTTTTTCTTGAGGTTTATGCTTAATTACTTACATTCTTGAATTTCTTGTAGATACCAAAGTATACGTATCGGTTGAGAAATATTTTTAGCTTCCACAAAGTAGTCTCCCAAACGAAAATTAACAGCAATAAAACAAAGCCTAGAGTACTCATCATAATCAAATACTTTCCAATCATATTCTCCTCCAAAGAATAAACATTCTTCTCAGCATCTGTGAATGACAAAAAAGAGATCATCTTACTGTAGAACACTGACACCATCAACAAAGCCTAAGAAAATAACAAAAAAGGAAGAAATTGGATAAGATGGAATACTAGGCTAAATTGAGACAAGTATTTAGAATGTGATAATTGATTATCTTGCTACAAAAATACCATTTGAACAATGAATTCTGAAGGCTGATCTTTATGAAGAAAATATATAGTAATTAAGTAACCATATGAATATCAATGTATTTATTGATATGTCTAACCATAATTGCATGCCATGAAGAATATGCCAAAAATCCTTTCAGAGGGGTAAAAACTTAAATTGTAAACTTGGTATATCCCTCTGTTTACTTATTTAGTTTTAGCCCTCCATTTATTTATTTAGGTCTTCATTTTTATTTAATACTGTTTAGTATTTATTAGTTTAGAGGTATTGCAAACACGTTGTTAGCTCTATTCCTACATATTTTTGTTTTTTATGCTATTATAAATGGTATCACTTTTTGAAGTGTCATTTATTACTGTGTGTTGCTAACAGAACTACAGTGGAGTTTATTTTTTGTATACTGAACTTGCTGAATTATTTTATTAATTTTAATAATTTATGTGAATTTTTTTTTAATTTTCAATGGATACATTCAAAGCATCAGCTAATAATGTATTTCTTTTTTTCCAATTCCTATATGTACATTTCTTTCTTTTTTTTTTAAATTTACTGCCATGTCAAGGACATACAGTTCAATGTTGAATCAAAGTGGCGATACCGACATCCAGTTTCATTCCAATTTCAGAGTAAATATTATAATTTTTTATATGTTCATTTTTTTTAGTATGATTATATCTTTAAGTACGAAAGCCAAGTACGACCTTGAATATATCCCTCCTGATTTTAGAAATCATCTCAATAACAGATTTGCTACACTGAACACAAATGACCAAAAACCAGATGAGCTGTGGGATGACATTAAAAACTTATTCATGAAGAAAGTAAAACGTCATTAAAAAGAAAGAAAAGACCAAAATGGATATTAGAAGAGACTCTGAAACTTGATCTTTATTGATTGCAGAGTAGCTAAAGTGAACAGAAGAAATCATCAAGTCAAAGGCCTTAACAGAAGATTTCCAAGAGCAGCTCAAGAAGACAAGGTAAAGTATAATGAAATGTGCCAAGAACCGGAGTTAGAAGACTGAAAGGGAAGAACACTATCGGCATTTCTCAAGCTGAAAGAACTGAAGAGAAAACTTCAAGCCTTGAGCTGCAATACTGAAGGATTCTATGGGCAAAAAAACTGAATGATGCAGAAAGCATCAAAAGAAGATTGAAGGAATATACAGAGTCGCTGTATGAAAAAGAACTGATCAATCAACCATTTTCAGGAGGTAGCATATGATACTGAAGGAAGAAGCTCAAGTCACTCTGAAGGCACTGGCAAAAAATAAGACACTGCGAATTAACGGATTACCAATTAAGATACTTCAATAAATGGATGTTACGCTAGAAGCGCTTATTTGTCTATGTCAAGAAATTTGGAAGACAGCTACTTGGTCAACCAACTGAAAGGGATCCATATTGGTGACCATTGCAAAGAAAGGTGATCAAATGAAATGTGAAAATTATTGAACGAAATCATTAATATCACATACTAGCAAAATTTTCCTGAAAATAATTCAAAACCTGCTGCAAGCATACATCATCAGAACTTCCAGAAGTTCAAGCCAGATTCAGAAGAGGATGTGGAATAAGGGATATCACTGCTGATGTCAGATGGATCTTGGCCGACAGCAGATGTTTATCTGTGTTTTATGGGCTATGAGAAGGTATTTGAATGTGTGGATCATAACAAATTATAACTTTATGAAGAATGGGAATTCCAGAACAGTTTGTTCTGCTCATGCTGAAGCTGTGCATAGATCAAGAGACAGTTGTTCTAACAGAACAAGGGGATATTGCAAGGTTTAAAATAAGAAAAGGTGGGCGGCAGGGTTGTATCATTTAACTTAATTTATTCAATCTATATGCTGAGCAGATAATCCAAGACGCTGGTGTATATGGAGAAGAATGAGGCATTAGGATTGGAGGAAGACTCATTAACAACTTGCTATGTGCAGATGACACAACCTTGCTTGTCAAAAATGAAGATTACTTGAAGCACTTACTAATGAAGGTAAAAGACTTCAGTATAGATTATATCTGAACATGAAGAAAATGGAAATCTCACAAGTAGGCCCATAAACAACATGATAATAAATGAGGAAGAAATTGAAGTTGTCAATGATTTCATTCTTCTTGGATCAACAATCAACACCCATGGTAGCAGCAATCAAGAAATCACAAGGCATACTGCACTGGGAAAATCTGCTGCCAACAGAGCACATTAAAAATCTTAAAAAGCAAAGATGTCACTTTGATGACTAAAGTGCACCTGACCCAAGCTATGGTATTTTCAATTGTCTCATATGCATGCAAAAGCTGGACAATGAAAAAGAAAGGCAGAAGAACTGATGCATTTGAATTGTGGTGTTGGCAAAGAATATTGAAGATACTATGGACTGCAATATGCAGATGACACAACCTTGCTTGCTGAAAGTGAAGAGGACTTGAAGCATTTATTGATGACAATCAAAGACTATAGTCTTCAGTATGGATTACACGTCAACATAAAGAAAACAAAAATCTACACAACTGGACCAATATGCAACATCATGATAAACAGAGAAAAGACTGAAGTTGTCAAGGATTTCATTTTACTTGGATCCACAATCAACGCCCATGGAAGCAGCAGTCAAGAAATCAAACGATGTATTGCATTGGACAAATCTGTTGCAAAAAACCTCTTTAAGGTGTTAAAAAGCAAAGATGTCACTTTGAGGACTAAGGTGTGCCTGATCCAAGCCATGGTGTTTTCAGTTGCCTTATATGCATTAGAAACTGGACAATGAATAAAGCAGACCAAAGAAGAATTGATGCCTTTGAATTGTGGTGTTGGGGAAGAATATGGAATATACCACAGACTGCCAGAGAATGAACAAGTCTGTCTTGGAAAAAGTATAGCCAGAAAGCTCCTTAGAAGCAAGGATGGCGAGACTTCGTCTCACATACTTTGGACGTTATCAGCAGGGACCAGACCCTGGAGAAGGACATTATGTTTGGTAAAGAAGAGGGCCAGCAAAAAAGAGCAAGACCTTCAAGGAGATGGACTGACACAGTGGCTACAACAATGGGCTCAAGCATAACAATGATTGTGAGGATGGTGCAGGACTGGGCAGTGTTTCATTCTATTGTACAAAGGGTCGCTATGAGTCAGAACCAACTAATGGCACCTAACAACATGGACTGCCAGAAGAACAAAACAAATCTCTCTTAGAGGAAACACACCCAGAATGCTTCTTAGAAGCAAGGATGGTGAGACTTTGTCTCACTTACTTTGGACACATCCTCAGCGGTGACCAATTGCTGGAGGAGGACATTACGCTTGGTAAAGTAGAGGGTCAGTGAAAATGAGGGAGACCCTCAGTGAGATGGACTGACACAGTGGCTGCAAAAATGGGCTCAAACATAGCAGCAATTGTAAGGAAGGCAGAGGATTGTGCAATGTTTTGTTCTGTTATTCAGAGTGTCCCTAAGATTCAGAACCAACTCGACAGCACCTAACAACAACAACATGATTGCTGTAGAAACCCTTTACCAATTTAATATACTATCTATTGTTTTCCTACATTGACAGATGAAGGCATAATTCTTTTATACTTTTGTTCTTCTCCTATATAGTTACATTGCATTTTAAAATTCCTCTTCTCACAGTTACCTTAAAATAATATACTTAAGCCTCTATCATTCCATCAACTATATAGAGTATCTCTTAACTCCTCTCATTGTAAGATGATGACTTAAATTATTTTTTACTTTCTATTTTTCCTGTCCCTTTTAACCCTTAACTTTTATTAGCTCTATTTTTACTTTACATTGTCTGGATTAATAATAATTATATATTTTTGGTAGCTAAAAGCAAGTCTTTTTCTCTTTGTGTGTAAATTGATACCCAAAGTTGAAAAACAATACATAGCATTTATATTGTTATGACCATGCAAATAGCATTCCCTGCAGAGTCAATGTTACAACATTTATGCCACCCAAAAATCAATGTTCAATTTCTTCCTACAGTCCACCAATTACTCAAATGCATAATATATTTAGTTTACTTCAGAGTTCGACTATACCTTTTATTAACAGTTACTACCTCTCGCCTTGGCTAGACTTCTTCTTTCTCTTACTTTCATTTATGGATCTTTCATCCATTGTACTACTCTAATCACCCAAATCATTACTTCGTACCTTTACCTATTTATTTAACACACATTTGAGTCCCTTCTATGTGCCAGACACTACACTGGCACTGGGGAATGGATTATAACTTGTGGGCAGGTGAGTGAAGGTGAGTATGCGTGGTGGTGATGGGAGTAACAAAAGTAAATAAAATACAGTTATAATATAGACCCTTCCCCTAGAGGTTCTTTCCCACAGACAGAATACATTATACAATGAAAGAATATAAGCTTTGAATTCCAGTTCTGACCCATACAAGCTATGAGATACAGGGCACATCTTATCCTCAAAATGAGCACGACAGCATGTAACTTGAAGAGTTGTTGTGAAGATTTTAAATAATGTAAGTAAAGCTACTTGGTAGATGATTATTAGTAACTCTTATTCTGTATCTGATGACTACTTTAATTGTACCTCGGATTTGCTTTTGAGACTTCATTATATTTACAGAGATTTATCCCAGCCTTGTAAAATGACTTAACATGTATCCTGATTCTCTCCTTACATTCCAGGGTTTCAGTCTGAGACTAATTCCCAAAAGACTTAGGGGCCCACAGGTTACTTACTTGCTTTACTACAATTTATGTGGGGAGGAGGGTGTTTTTGAGTGTCGCACAATGTTTTGTCCTGGTAGACATCAGCATAATCCTCGAGGGCCTTCGCAAGGTTGTAATTGGGAAACAGCAGTAACGCATTTAGCATGAGGGTTCTGGTGTCATTTGAAATTTTACTTTCAAGTTCTAAAAAGGTAATAAGTTTAGATTTCATTATAGGAAATAAGCCATCAGATTTCATAATAAAAAAATGAACCATCCCCAGGACAACAAACCCCTAAAAGATGGTCAAACCAAGCTCAGAGAATTAAAAACCAGATGATTATCTCTGAAGAACACTAATTATCTCAAAAAGTTTGTTCCAAATGATAGCCAGTGACATCATTTTTGTAGATAACTGCAGAGTTTTGAAGTTTTTTTGGTGAAGTAGGTGTCCACATGATATGTCTTCCAGGCACCTGATACGAACGGGAAAACATACTAGCTATTTTTCTCATTTCTAATCCTAATTAATCAACTAAGGGATCAGAGTACAGGTAGTAGATAAGAGTCTAGAATTCAATAGTAGGTAACAGAGAAAATTCTGCTATCTTTGACAGTAGAAAATTTTTCAAACAAGCTGATTGTCATGAATTGAATTGTGTCCCCCAAAAGTATCTGTCAACTTGGCTAGGTCATGATTCTCAGTATTGTATGATTGTGTAATCTGCTGTGATTTCCTTATGTGTTGTAAACTCTATCACTATGATGAGGTTATACTGATGAGGTTGACAAGATTAGATAGTGTCTTAATCCAATCTGTTTTGAGATATAAAAGAGAGAAGTGAGCAGAGACACGTGGGAACCTCATACCACCAAGAAACCAGTGCTGGGAGCAGAGCGCGTCCTTTGGACCTGGGGTTCCTGCACAGAGAAGCTCCCAGACCAAGGGACGTGGACCTTCCTCCAGAGTCGACAGAGAAAGCGTTCCCCTGGAGCCGATGCCTCGAATTTGGACTTGTAGCCTACTGACTGTGAGAGAATAAACTTCTCTTTGTTAAAGTCATCCACGTGTGGTATCTCTGTTAATAGCAGCACTAGATGAGTAAGACACTGATAGATAACTAATGTCTCTCCAAAGAATAAATTGAATATGAATAATAATTTGTGACTAGATTCCTGAAGATATGTTTAATTTATGAATTGCCATTATAGAATTTCATATTGAGCTCAGATTTTTACAAAGAGGATAAAGGACTAGTCTAAGCAAAAGGTTCTTACAAGACACTGAGGAAAGTGAGATGGCCAAGAGGTAAAACCTCAAATGCCAAAGCCATGGCAATTTTGTTCTGAGTAGCTCTTAACTTAATGTAGAGACAATAATCTATCCACAGTGAAGAATTCTGGATATTGGCCACTGTGCCAAAAACGGCAAACACTAATTATACAGACAAGCACTGTCCAACAGAACTATTCATGATTATGGAAATACTCTACAGCTGTGCTATCCAATAAGCACATGTGACTACTGAGGACTTGCAATGTGGCTAGGGAATGGAGTTTTTAACTTAATTTAATTTCAATTAAAATTTAAATAGCCATGTATGGCTAGTGACTACTATACTGGACCACACAGGTATAGTCTGATATCTTTTAGGCTGTCCCCGTAGCAATCATAAATATCTTCTCACCTCCAAAGAGTAGAGAAAGCTCTAGGAGAGAAAGTGAAATATATCTGACAAAATGATGAAGGCCTCCTTAGGGAGGGGACAAAGTAAAAACTGACAGAACTGTGTTATTAAAAGCATCAGCCAGTTCAGTGGAACTGACCATTCAGAACAAAGTATCAATCAACTACATTGAACACCACATTGATGTATACTAGTGGAATATCAATTCTCTCTACAAAATTCTAGAGAAGGCTGGATTTGATGTCTGCTTTTTTGGCTTGCTTAAGTGTCCATTTTCCATACTTCTGGTAACAGTTCTTCAGATTTTATAGCATTTTTGAATAACAGTAGTTTCTTTCTTTCCAATCTGTATATGTTTATTTACTTTTTTAAATTACAGAACTTACCAAGACCTAATATGTTTAACAGTGATGAAATGATTTGTCCTCATCTAGTTCCTGCTTTTTATAGGAAATGTTTTTAATGAGTCACCACTGTATTATATTTGCTACAGATTTTTGTATATGCATACCCCTTTATAAAGGTAGGCAAGTTTTTTTTCCCCTAATCATAGTTCGCTAAGAAATTTTATAATGTATCTTATTGATATTTTTTGGCATCTGTTGAGATGATTATATGTTTCCCCATTAATATATTAATATGGGAAGTATATTAATAGACTTTTAATATGAAAGCAACCAGCCTAAATTCAGTTAGCTAATATTTTGCTTGTAATTTTTGAATCTGTGTTCATGAATGAAATTAGTGATTATTTTTCATTGCACTGTTCTTGTCAGGCAATAGCATGGTGCTTTTGCTTATCTCACAGATTAGGTTGATAAGTATTATTTTATTTTTTTCTGTATTAGCTGAAAGAATATACAGAACTCACCAGAAGTGCCATCTAGGCCTGGCGCTTTCTCTGTGAAAATAATTGTAACTATCAGTGTAATTACCTGAATGCTTGTAGTATGATTCAAATTTTCTAATTCTTCTTAAATCAGATTTAGTAAATTGCATTTTTTTCCAGAAGTGTAATGAATTTGTTTGAAGTTTTCAAATTTTTTGGCCTAAAATTATTTATCATAAGCCTCTTATCTGTCCAGTGGTGAAACGTTTGTACATATGTCCCCTGTTTATTCCTAATATTTATTTACTTGTGCATTCTCCTTTTTTTTTTCCTTGACAAACTTGCTGTTATGCCAACTTTGAGTCTTTCCAACAAGCTGATCGATGGCTTTGTTGGTACTTTCTATTGTGTATTTGTTTCCAATTTGTTAATTTTTGCTATTTGCTCCTTCCTTTTACTTTATTATGCTGTTCTTTTTCTAACTTTTTAGGTTAGATGGTTTGTTAGTTATTTTTTGGACTTTCTAATGTTAGAATTTAAAACTAATTTTTCTTTCCAAGTATCTCTCTTTAGTTGCAGAGTATTTATGTTACTCCTGAGTTCTAAACATTTTATAATTTGTTATGATTCCCTCTTTGGTCCATTTGTTATATAAAAGTGTTTTAAACTTCTCAATTTGTGTTCTTTTGCCAGTTATCTTTTTGTTACTAATTTCTAAATTATATAATGATCAGTGAATATGTCCTTATATGATTTTAGTCTTCACGGTGTATCATTTGGTTGGTTTTTGTAAAGACTTCATGTGTGCTTCAATAGGTATATTTGGGGCATGGAAACCCCGGTGGCATAGTGGTTAAGAACTATGGCTGCTAACCAAAAGGCTGGCGGTTCGAATCCACCAAGTGCCCCTTGGAAACCCTATGCAGCAGTTCTACTCTGTCCTATAGGGTTGCTATGAGTCGGAATAAACTCAATGGCAATGGGTTTGGTTTTTTTTGGATGTTCTATATATGTCCATGAGCTCAACTTTATTAACTATACTCAGTAGATATCATTTATTGATTTTCCCCCTGCTTGCTATGTAAAAATCTCGTTCTATGATGCTGTATGTTTTGCCTACTATTTCATATAGTTCTGGAAATTTTGATATATATATATATATATACACACACATACTTCTAGATGGAGCCCTGGTGGCGCAGTGCTTACGAGTTAAGGCTGTTAACCAAAAAGTCAGCAGTTTGAATCCACCAGCTGCTCCTTGGAAATCCTACGGGGCAGTTCTACTTGTCATATAGGGTCGCTATGAGTTGGGACTGACTCCACCAGCACATAGCAACAACTTAACTTTTCTGTCTGACTGTGTCAGAGGTCTTCTCTTTAGCACTGATGTTCTGAAACGTCATGATAATGTGTCTACGTGAGAATTTTTTTTTTTTTAGTGATTCAGTGAGCTTTCCGAAACTGAGGATTTCTGTCTTTCAACAATTCAATTCTTAGCCATTATCTATTCTAACACAACTCTGCCTCTTTTTTTCTAGTATTTCTTTCTAAACTTTATTTGGCTATATGTTGGACTTTCTCACTATATCTTCCATGGTATTAACATCTCTTTTATAATATCCACTTTTTTTAACCTCCTGGGATACATTCAGGATATTTCTTTTGTATCTATCTTTAATTCACTAATTTTCTCTTCAATAGTGTATAATACTCTGATACATCAGCCTGTTGGGCTCTTAAATTGTTAACCTTTTCATTTCTCAAGGTTCTGTTTGGATCCTTTTCAAACGTACTTGTTTGTATACATATGATCTCTATTATTTTCTCATATTTCGGAGCAACTCCTCTACTGTTTAAATATTTTAAACATATGTATTTCATGTTTTCTTATATTCTCACATCTGAAACATTTGTGGGTCTGATTCTGCTGTTGGTGGTTTCTGTTAGCACTTGCTCATCATGCCTTCTTTCTTTTCTTTAACTTGATCTCAAGTTCTCTAGAAATTATACAGTGGGAATACTTAGAAGCCTGGGATTTTGTGTATGCTTTTGTCACTTACCTGGAGACACAACCAAATGGAGTTATTTAAAATAATTTCTTAGGTTAAATTTTTGGCTTACATAGGTGCTAGGATTTCAGAACATGAGTACTGGCATGTGATTACAAATTTTCAAAGGAAATTTTCATTCGTCTACCCAGTGCCAAGTTCAAAGTTTGCAAGTTTCTTTTCTGTGCCCTATTGTGGCATGAGTTAGTTTTGTTCACCTTTATAATAAAGAAGCTACTAAACTTTCAGTGGACATCTATGGTTGTTATACTGACCTCTGTGTCGGCAGCATCACTAGGGTTAGTGTCATCCAGGGTGGTAACTCTTGGTGTCACTGCCCCATGGACCTCCCGCCATACCAGACCATACAGAATCCTCAGTAATGTTTTTTGTACTAATGCTACTTATAAATCCTAATTCCTGCGTATCACTCCTTTTCCTTTAATTACCACTTCATTCTCAAAAAAGTTATTGATATAGTTTCACAAATGCTAATTACCATAATTTTGGGAGTTCTTTTGTGAGAAGGAGCAGTAAGTCATAGCTCTTACAAGCATTTTAGCCAGCGGTGCAGGGGCTCAAGTCTTGCTCGCATGAAATATGCATCCTTGAAGAAGTGTGCAAAGGAGTATATAAGTCCATCTTCAGTTAATATAGGGGAATTCTTACAATAGGTGAAAAATACCAAACCCGTTGTTATCGAGTTGATTCCGACCCATAGCGACCCTATAGGACAGAGCAGAACTGCCCCATAGGGTTTCCAAGTAGTGGCTGGGGCATTCAAACTGCCGATTTTTTGGTTAGCAGCCCAGGGCTTAACCACTACGCCACCAGGGCTCCATATATGTGTTCCTATAATGAAGAGCTAAGGAAACGGGGCAGGAAGCCTGTGCTTGTGGAGTTCTGCAACAACAGGGCAGGGAAGAATTGCTTAACACAGTTCAAATGCATGTTCATAGGGTGATTCAACAAGGCGTCAAAATAGTCCCTCTTTTAAAAACCCTCTTCATAATAACGGTCAACTTAGTGAATGATTGTTGCTGTTAGGTGCCCTCAAGTCGTTCCCAACTCATAGTGACCTTATGTACAACAGAACCAAGTGTTGCCTGGTCCTAACTTCGCGATTCTCTCCCCAAATATCATAAGAGAAGGAAAATGAGGAGATACGTATTTTACAGGTACTATGGAAACCAGGTCTGGGAGGAAAGAAAATCGGTTTAGTTATATGTATGTTAGGTGCATATATAGTTTTCCTTCTTTCTGAAAAATCTTGTTAGGAGGTTCAGGACCTTGTGCCTCTTCACACCATGAAACCTTCCCAGAACAGAACTGTTTGCCACTCCCAAGAGCTCGATATTCCTCTCTACTCCTCCCTCTTTTCACTTCAATCTAAAGGGTTACAATATCAGGGGATAACAGTTTTAAAGATAATTAATAGTCTAATGTACATGGGATATAATGTCTTCTTTCTGAGGCCTGTACCTTCCAAGAAAAAAGCTGCTATTTTATTCTCTCTCAGTAAAATGAGTCTCAGGGACAAATGCTTCTAAAATTTCCAAAATTAAGTGTAAAATAGATTTCTTAAAGTCATATGCTACAGCTTCAGGAGGTAGTGTACGGAGGAGGAGTCATGTCAAAGGACTTGTACATCAGGGTCAGTCCCAGGCCTTCAATACAAGATCCCAGTCCTAGTCCAATGCCTAGACTGTCATAGGCACACAAAATAAGTGTACTGATTTACGTCAAGTACAGGGTTCCTCCCAAACCTAGAACTGTCTACTAATGTTCTTAGATACCTGCAAACCCACTCCTCTTTAGTATTTACTGCTGCCTTCTGGGGAAGGGGACATTTCATGTATCCCTTACCCTCATTATATTCCAATGCCATGTCTATGAGGAGACTAAAAATGCCTGAAAAGTAGTTGAATAGGACGAGCTTGATGTAGGCAGCAGTACTTTCAGAAAACAGAAAGCTCATCAGGTACATGAGGGGAATGGCAGACCAGCCATACAGCATGAAGATCAACATTATGTCCAGCCATCGGTTCTCCATGAGAAATACTTCCACTTTACAGTATTTGACTACTCCCTGAAATACAGAGATAAAGGCAAGGTGAAGGTAAAGTGTAAAAATAAATCAAGCCAGAATATTTAGAGAAGGACATAAGAAACGCTGTCTTTATTTAGCATAGACCTATTCACTAATTAAATCAATTTTCCTCTTTAAAAAAAAATGCCTTAGCATGTGAACATGAAATAAGTTACCATACTTCCACTTCTTCTTCCCCAGAGAGCAGTGAGCAGAACAAATGTACTTTTTTTCCCCCCACTTGGAACAGTTGTTTATTTTTTAAGTTTACTAACAAAGTCAGTATAACAAAGTTGACATTGGTGTTCTGAAGTTTCTCCAATAAATGTAACTCAACTTTCCTAGAAAGTAAATTATTTCTCTAAAGAGAGACTATTTCTCTAAAGATTTTCCCTCTGGTTACCGCAGTATGACATAACCTACCTTGCACTGCTAGCCAACTTTAGACTTGACCTCCTGGCTACATTCTACTACCTGACACCCCTCACATCCACCCCAGCCACTTAGGGGCCTCTAACTTTAAGTTTTCAACTCACATCGAAAACCAGACAGTGACACACAAAATTAACAGTTGCTGTCAAGCTGCCTCTGACTCATGGTGACCCCATGTGTGTCAGAGTAAAACTTTTTTTTTTTTTAAATTATGGTGAAAACATATATAATATCATCTCAACAATTTCTACATGGACGATTCAATGACACTGATTTACGTTCTTCTTGTGTAACCATTCTCTTTATCCCTTCCCAAAACATTCCACACCATTAACATAAATTCATTGTCCCCTAGGCAAAAACTCTCCCTTTTCCCCTCCCTTCCACCACTGGTATTCAATTGTGGTGCTGGCGAAGAATATTGAATATACCATGGACTGCCAAAAGAACAAACCAACCTGTCTTGGAGGAAGTACAACCAGAATGCTCCTTAGATGCAAGGATGGCAAGATTACATCTCACATACTTTGGACATGTTATCAGGAGGGACCAGTCCCTGGAGAAGGACATCATGTTTGGTAAAGTAGAGCGTCAGCAAAAAAGAGCAAGACCCTCAACGAGATGGATTGACACAGTGGCTGCAACAGTGGGCTGAAGCATAACAACGATTATGAGGGTGGTACAGGACCAGGCAGTGTTTCGTTCTGTTGTACATAGGGTCGCTATGAGTCAGAACCAGCTTGACAGCACCTAACAACGACAACAACATCCACCACTGGTAATCACTAATATAATCTTTGGTTTCTATATATTTGTTTATTTCATATAAGTGAGATTATACAGTATTCGTCCTTTTGTGACTGACTTATTTCACATAGGTTCATCCATGCAGTGGCATGCATCAGCACTCTTTCTGGCTGAGTAGTATTCCATGGTATGTATATAACACATTCTGTTTATCCATTCATCTGTTGAGGGGTATTTTAGTTGTTTCCACCTTCTGGCTCTTGTGAAAAGTGCTGCAGTGAACACTGGTGTACAAGTTTCTGTTTGTGTGTCTTTGGCTTTTGATGGCTTGATTATGATGTGTATTGGTGTGGATTTCTTTGAGTAAATTTTACATAAATTTCAGAATTAGCTATCAGGACCTACAAAAATAGGGTGCTGGGTGTTATGGATAGAATTGTGTTTCCCAGGTATGTTGAAGTTCTAACCCCTGTACCAGTAAATATGACCCTGTTTGGAAACGGGTTTTCTTCCGTGATGTTAGTGAGGTCATATGGGAGTATGGGTCCTAAACCTAATCCCTTCTAAGTGATGTCTGAAAAAAAAGGGGAAAGAGAGAGACAATACACAGGGGGAGAATATCATGTGAAGATGGAGGAAGATGCCTCTACAAGCTCAGGAATGCCAAGGAGAGTCAGTACAAACTAGAAAGTGAAAGAGACAAAGAAGGACCTTCCCCTAGAACCAATGCCCTAAATCGAACTTCTAGCCTCCAGAACTGTGAAAAAATAAAATTACATTCTTTAAAGCCACCCACCTTGTGTTATTTTTGTTACATTAGCACTAGGTAACTAAGACACTGGTTGATGGGAATTGTGTAGAATCTCTGAATTACTTATGAGAAAAATGACATCCTAAAAATATTAAGTATTCTAATCCATGGGCATTGTTATAGATTGAACGGTGGCCCCCCAAAATATGTATTGTAAATACTAACCTCTATGCCTGTAGTTATGATCTCATTTGAGAATGGGTTGTCTTTGTTATGTTAATGAGACAGGATTAGTATAGGGTGTGTATTAAGTCAATCTCTTTTGAGATATAAAAGAAATTAAACAAGCACGTGAGAGAAACAGGGATGGTGGAAGAGAGCTGCCAAGCCACATGAAGACTGCCCAGGAGTAGAAGCTCAGAAGAGACAAGGACCTTCCTCCAGAGCTCAAAGAGCCTTCTCCTAGGGCTAGCACCCTGAATTTGAACTTCTAGCCTCCTAAACTGTGAGAAAATAAACTTCTGTTTGTTAAAGCTACCATTTGTGGTATTTCTGTTATAGCGGCACTAGATAACTAAGATAGACATTGAATATTTCTCCACTTTTTAAGGTATTTTTATACTTTTCTCAGTAATGTTTTGTAGGTTTCAGTGTATAGACTTGGCATATTTTTCAATAAGTTCATTCCTAAGTATATTTTTTTGGGGGGGCTACTGTAAATGGTATTTCAAAAATTTGTCTATAGAAATATACTTGATTTTTGTATATTTATCTATTATCTTGCACATTTGTTAAAATTACATTAATTTTAGAAGTTTTTTTGTAGATTTTTAAGAATATTTTTAATGTATACAATCATACCTTCTGAAAAGTTTTACATCTTCCTTTCTAGTATTTATGTTTTTTATTGTTCTAAAAATTATGTAACACATTTGCCAAATCAACATTTTTTAGGTGTACAATTTAGTGCTATCAAATACATTAATCGTCTTGTGCAACCACCATCCATAATCGTTGCCAAATTTTCCATTACCATAAACAAACCCTCACTCCCTCCTATACAATGGTTCCTCCATTCCCCTTTCATCCCACCCCTGGTAACCACTAATAAACTTTGGTATCTATACATTTGCTTATTCTTGTTATTTCATATAAGTGAGATAATACAATGTTTACTCTTTTGTGATTTACTTATTTCACTGAGCCTAAGGTTTCTGAGATTCATCCATGTTGTAGCATGAATCAGGATTTCACTTTCCTTTATGGCTAAGTAGTATTCCATCGTATGTACGTACCACATTTTGTTTATCCATTCATCCAGTGATGGATACTTAGGTTGTTTCCACCTTTTGGCTATTGTGAATAGTGTTGCAATGAACTGACAAGGGTCTAATATCTAATATACATACACATACATATATATATACACATACACACACACATATATACATATATTTAAAACTTCTACAACTTAACAAAAACATCAAAAAATAAGTAGAAGACTAGAATGGATAATCTTCATGTTTTAAAACGTCTTTTTCTTGCCTTACTGCACTTGTTACACTTCCAGTGCAATAATTAGACATGTAAGAATGGACACATGTTCTTGCCATGATTTTAGACAAAATGCATTCCTTGCACACAATGTTATTATTTTTATAGATGCCCTTTATCAGGTTGAGGAAATTCTCTTCTATTCTTGGTTTGCTCAGAGATGTTTTATTCCGTGTAAGCATTAATGTTAGCTTTTGTTAAAGGCTTTTTCTGAATCTATTGAAATGATCATATGGTTTGACCTAACTGGCATATGGAGGATATCAGCTCCAACAATATAAGAATACATACTATTTTTAATTGCTCATAAAACATATATCAAAATTGACCAATTCCTGTATCTTAAAGCAATCATCAATGACTTTAAAATGATTGAAATCATTCATGGCGTATCTTCTGACCATAATTAAGTAAAGTTTTAATTATAAAGATAACTATTACATCCTTAACTTCTTAGTAATTAAATAGGCTGCTAAAATCTATTTTTTTTAAATCAGGAAGTATTTTGAATATGACAAATATGTGGAATGCAGCTAACACAACACAAGTTATTTTAAGATTCAGGAGTTATCCGATGCCAACACTCTCAGTGTGTTTGTGTATTGCAGAAGTTGGTGGGAAATGATGGAGAGAAAACAATGGTGCCAGAAGTGTCGCCAATTTGCTTCACCAGGCAGTGTGGTGACAGATATAATTAACATACAAAGGTATAGTGGTATTAGTGGTCTGTTCTTGTCATGCTGCCTGGCAATTATGAATAGAAGAAGATGGCATGGAGCTCCTTAGTTACAGTGATATATGTAGCAAGATGGAAGATGTACAGAGATAGAACTTCTGTTATTCATTCTAACTTGTGACGGGGGGGCGGGGGGGGAACTCTGTACCAAAGACTTTCTCTCCTGCTAACAACCTACCCTGTACCACCTCCACCATATAGTTCCTTGGTCACGGTGCTGTGTGTGGCAATATGTAGGATGTGCAGAAAGAGAACTTCCTGATGCCTCTCAACTTTGGGGCTCTATTTTCTTCATTCCAAAATATATACGTACATCATACAGGCAGACACATTCACACACACACACACACACACACACACACACACACACAAAACACATACACACTTACCAAATTTTGACAGTATAATGCACAGAATTTAGATAAATTCTCTCAAATATTTTTAGGAAGAAAGGGAATAAGGAGAAGAAGAAAATGATAAAAATAATGGAATGAAGAAAACTCAGATGATGAGGAGGAAAAAGAGGGAAAAAAGAGGTAAGCAAGAAGTAATTTTACTGGTCCACTGTATAGTTTGGATAGGGAAATGGTATTTCACATCTTTATGATAAGAAGCAACATACTGTGTTCTAATTATTTCATTTTCATGGTTAGCTTGTGGCCATTACTAAGCAGTGAACTACTTAACAGATGAGTCATATTCATATAAATTCCCGCTACCTATTATTAGGGAAGAAACTTCTGCCCACCCCCAGCATGATTTCACCTCTATGTACAGCATACCTTGCATATATTCATCCCTCTACCATCTGCAAAACACACATATACACACTTCAAAGGAAAGAATTTTTAATGTAAGTGGTGAGATTCTGGAATATACACGAGGCCACATTTCACTAGAAAATGGTATGGTGCACATTCATATATGTTTATTCTTTGTTCTATAAAGAAATTAGATGAACATGATTTTGAGGTGAGTAATAACAAAAAATCTCACTGAGCTCTCCCGCCTAGGATGTGATCTCTAATCCGCTTCCTCCCATTAAGTTCAACATTAGAGATTCTTGGGCACTGGCTTAGTTTTAAATACAGTGATATTGTACATACCCAAGAGACCTGAAAGCAGTGATGCAAACAGACACATGTACAGCAATGTTCATTGCAGCACTATTCACAACAGATAAAAGGTGGAAACAACTGAAATGTGATCAACAGATGAATGGATAAACAAGATGTGGTGTATACATATAGTGGGATACCACTCAGCCACAAACAGCAATGAAATTCTGATGCATGCCACAACGAAGATGAATCTAGAAAACATTACGCTGAGTGAAAGGGCAAATAATGTATGATCTCACTTATATGAAATAAGAAAATATATAAAAACCAGAAATTATTAGTGGTTACCAGCAGTGGGAGGGAGGAGGAAAGGGGGACTTTTTGCTTAGCTTTATGTTAATGGTGGTAGACTAATTTGTAAAAGGATATTGAGAATGGTTGCATAGCTTGAATAATGTAATCAAAGCCACTGAATCATATGTGTAGAAACTATTGAACTGGCATGTTTTTCTGTGTATATTTTCACCCCAATTAAATAAATAGTGATCTTGCACATTTCTCCTTTGGCTGTAAATCCCAGTAGGAGGATTGGGAGAAAGGATTTCAACACATAAAACACACACTGAATCCCACAACAGTGTCTGTAGATGTTAAATAAATTTTTTAAATAAATTGATAGATCCCAAAGGAAACTAGAATTGCTGGCCATACTACAGCCCCAGAAACCCCAATGTATTACAACACTGAACAAGACTCGGTAGTATGAGACAGGTAACAGGTAAACAATTTTAGGGAAATTTTTGGGGTCAGCACAAATTGATGTGCAAACAGATAGGAAGCCATTCCATGAGAGGTCATTCTGCTTCTGCAAAAAAAAAAAAAGTTATTTGTTTTTTTTTTCCTAATAAAGAAATGAATATGACAGAGAAAGCTTCTACCATGAGACTTCTGATATGTTTCCTAAGATATGCAAATAGTTTACTGTTAGAATTAGGTTTATGACACTATTAGAGAATAGGAATGTTCCATGTGGTACAGAACAAAAATAAGCCCTCAAGAAACTTTGACTAACACTCACCATTAGTAAGCAGCAGGAAATGAAGAAGATGATGAAATCCCACAATAGAGCAGAAATCCAGTATATAAGCACATAAATCCCAGTCACAAACTGGATGTGCTTTGCCCTAGTGACTCTCTCAGTCACTGTCAGGAGACAAAAACCACTAATTAAAAGAGCCATGCCAAAATGCACATTTATGGCCAAATAGTCTCCATTTATACTCCTACAGAAGAAGGAACAACAGAAAAGATGTATCAGCAAATCAACACAGTAAAAAATAAAGGTTTCTATCACCAGTTATTTTTAGCATATGAATATAATCAGATAGGGCAGGAGAAATACATTCAAAGTGTAAAACTAACTCTAATGAAAAGAATAACATACTTGCTAACGAAGTCATTAGCATCATGGTATGGCTGAGGTTTATTGGAGACTGTTAAGGAAGCATCAGGGCCAGACAGTGACATGAAGAGAATGTTGTCTAATAGCATCAGAGATGCAGATGGTGAATGGTATGCTTCATTATTGAAAAGAGCAGTCAATACTGTTTCATTTGTTTTCTCCTCAATGGAAAGTGCAACAATGCATAAGTGACCACAGTCTTTATTCTCCATCAAGTACTTCAGTAGGTTACCTAGGATGAGGAAACAATATTGATCAGTGTATCTACAACATAAATTATTTATAATATATGTTCGGGAAGAGGAACTAAATAATTTTACTTGGTTCTCATCCATTTCAATTTTCCAACAGTGGTTACTTCAAACATTTCCATTTTTATCAAGCACTCTATTCCATCACTAAATTCCAAGCTCTCTTACTTCATACCCTATAATCTAACCTTCACTACTTCACTGAGAAAACATAGGCAACATGGTATAGACTCTATCAACTTAAATTTCCTCTGTCTCGAGCTCATCTATAAGTAATTTAACTTACAGCTATGATAAATTATCTTACAGCAGACAAAACTTTCTCTGCACAATCAGAAAAGCTGGATACAAAACAAGAAATCATTTTTTTAGGATAGTAGAAAGCTATGAAGGCAATCAACATATGGGGGCCAAAAATGAAAGAATGAAAATGCACTGAGATGAGCCCAGTATTTTACACCTTCTTCCCTTGGAGGCATTTATAGATTCATAAATGATATAGGTGACTTGGTAAGTCCCCAAGCTCTCCGTGGGACTCAGGAAGGACCACCCAAGGAGTAAGGGTAGGCAAGAAATAGACCAGTGCTCATAAAAATTTAAACCCAGCCTCAAATCACTTCAGTCTCTGATTGAATTTATGTTTTCCATTAATCTTACTGTCTGCCAGAAACAAAATTATATCTTCTCTGGAGAAGATAACCTTAAGCAGAAATGTTACCATCTTCATACATAGTTTCTGGCATTCAATACAAAATCATCAGGCATACTAAGGAACAGAACCAAGAGAAAGAACAGAGCATAGATAACAGAAACAGATCCACAGGTAAACGATATATTGCAGATGGAAAATTTACCAGAAAACTGAAGTGCATGGAGAGAATCAAACGATGATGTTTGAATTGAAAAAAAAAAAAAAAAAAATTTGAGGAGACGGGGCAAGATGATGGAGTAAATGGTTGCTCTCATTTATCCCCTTGCAACTAACTCACTGAACACTGAATAAAAATAGGCACAGACTGAGATCTCAGAGCTCCGGACATCAGCTGAAGTGTTGGAGAGCTGAGGTGAGTATCAGAACAGGGGAGAGGAGGAGCAGGGTCGGCAGAGAAGCTGGGAGTTTCTGGATGTTGGCATCCAGAGCACCTGACTCACTGTGGCCACTCTGGGTTGTGGACGGGCAACACCCCAAACAAAGAACACAGGAAGGGAGCTAAACTGAGGAAAGTGTAGTCCATTTAAGGTGGTGCAGATTGGCTGTGGGATTTCACAAACCACATACTTGGGAAAGGGCACAGGGAAGTCAAGACACTGCAAGTGAGTGCTATTGAATCTCCACAAGACCTGAGACTAAAAGAACTAGATGGTTACTGGCTACCACTATCAACCATTCTGATCAGGGCCACAGTAGATAGACCATGACAGTATGGGGAAAAAGTGTGGAACAGAACTCAAATTCTTAAAAAGTCCAGACTTACTGGACCAGTTGAGACTAAACGGCTCCCTGAGACTAGCACTATGAGATACTCTTTAAACCTTGAACTGAAACTATTCAGTGAAGTTACTTTTTAGTGAAATAACAGATTGGCATACAGAATAAACAATAGTATCTGTGGGTGTGGTGCTCCATTTAAAAAAAAAAATCTATGGGAACAAGGCAAGGATGTCCTTTATCACCACTCCTATTTAACGTTGTGCTGGAAGTCCTAGCTAGAGCAACAAGGCAAGAAAAAGAAATAAAGTGCATCCAAATTGGTAAGGAAGAAGTAAAACTATCCCTATTCACAGATGATATGATCCTATACATAGAAAACGCCAAAGATTCCACAAGAAAACTACTAGGATTAATAGAAAGATTCATCAGAGTAGTAGGATACAAGAGAAACATGCAAAAATCAGTTGGATTCCTATACACCAACAAAGAGAACTTTGAAAAGGAAATCAGGAAAACAATAAATACCATTTATAATAGCACCTAAAAAGATAAAACACTTAGGAATAAATCTAACCAGGGGTGTAAAAGACCTATACACAGAAAACTACAAAACACTATTGCAAGAAACCAAAAGAGACCTACATAAATGGAAAAACATACCATGCTCATGGATAGGAAGACTCAACATTGTGAAAATGTCACCTCTACCCAAAGCAGTCTACAGATATAATGCAATCCTAATCCGAATACCCACAGCATTCTTTAACGAGATGGAAAAACTAATCACCAACTTTATATGGAAAGGACAACAGGCCCTGGATAAGCAAAGCATTACTGAAGAAAAAGAACAAAGTAGAAGGTCTCATACTACCTGATCTCAGAACTGACTATACAGCCACAGTAGTCAAAACAGCCTAGTACTGGTACAATGACAGACACATAGACCAATGGAACAGAATCAGGAACCCAGATGTAAATCCATCCACTTATGGTTAGCTGATCTTTAACAAAGGACCACAGTCCATTAAGTGGGGGGAAAAGACAGTCTTTTTAACAAATGGTGCTGGCAAAACTGGATATCCATCTGTAAAAAAAAAATGAAACAGAACCCATACCTTACACTATACACCAAAACTAACTCAAAATGGATTAAAAACCTAAATATAAAACCTAAAAAGATTAAGACTGTGGAAGAAAAAACAGGGGCAATGCTATGGGCCCTAGTACATGGCATAAACAGAATATAAACCATAACTGACAATGCACAAACACCAGAAGATAAAATAGATAACAGGGAGCTCCTAAAAATTAAGCAGTTATGCTCATCAAAAGAATTCACCAAAAGAGTAAAAACAGAACCTACAGACTGGGAAGAAAATTTTAGCTATGACATATCCAACAAGGGTCTAATCTCTAAAATCTACAGAACACTTCAACACCTTAATAACAAAAAGACATATTAAAATCAGCAAAGGATCTGAACAGACACTTCACCAAAGAAGATATTCAGGCTAACAGACACATGAGGAAATTCTTGAGATCATTAGCCATTAGAGACGTGCAAATCAGAACTACAATGACATACCATCTCACCCCGACATTACTGACAGTAATGAAACAAACAGAAAATAACAAATGTTGGAGAGGGTGCGGGGAGATTGGAACTCTTATGCACTGCTAATGCGAATGTGGTACAACCACTATGGCAAATGATATGGTTTCTCCTTAAAAATCTAGAAACAGAAATACCATAAGATCCAGGAATCCCACTCCTAGGAATATAGCCTAGAGAAATAAGAGCCATCACACAAATAGACATGCATATCCATGTTCATTACAGCATAATTCACAATAGCAAAAAGACAGAAACAACCTAAGGGCCTATCAACACATTAATGGATAAACAAGTTATGGTACATACACACAAAGCAATTCTACGCAGTGTTAAAGAACAATGATGAATCTGCAAAATATCTCACAATATGGATGAATCTGGAGGGCGTTATGCTGAGTGAAATAAGTCAATCACAAAAGGACAAATATTGTATAAGACCACTATTATAGAAACCCAAGAAAAGGTTTATACACAGAAAAAAACAATCTTTGATGGTTACGAGGTGGGGGGGACAGGTGGGGAAAGGGAAAGCACTAACTAAACAGTAGACAAGTGTTAACTTTGGTGAAGGGAAAGAACACATAATATAGGTGAAGTCAGCACAACTTGACCAAGGTAAAGTCATAAAAGCTTCCTAGACACATCCAAACACCTTGAGGGACCAAGTTACTGGGGCTGAGGGCTGGGGATCATGGTCTCAGGGGACATCTAGGTCAACTGGCTAACACAGTTCGTAAAGAAAATGTTCTCTATCTTACTTCAGTGAATAGCGTCTGGAGTCTTAAAAGCTTGCAAGCAGCCATTTAAGATACATCTATTGGTCCCATCACATCCAGAGGAAAGAATGAACAAAACCAAAGACACAAGGAAAATATTAACCCAAAAGACTAATGGACCACATGAGCCACAGCCTCCATCAGCCTGAGCCCAGAAGAGTACGATGGTGCCCAGCTACTACCACTGACCACTCTGACAGGAATCACAACAGAAGGTCCTGGACAGAGTAGGAGAAAAATATAGAATAAAATTCAAATTCATAAAAAAGACCAGACTTACTGGTCTGATAGAGACTGGAGGAACCTTTGAGACTACGGCTGCCAGACACCCTACTAACTCTGAACTGAAGCCACTCCCGAAGTCCACCTTTCAGCCAAAGATTAGACAGGCCTATAAAACAAACAAACACACATAAGGAACATGCTTCTTAGTTCAATCAAGTATACAGGACCAAATGGGTAACACTTGCCTAAAAGCAAAGATGAGAAGGCAGGAAGGGACAGGAAAATTGGACGAATGGACATGGGGAACCCAGAGTGGAAAGGGAAAGGGAGAGAGTGCTGAAAGAATGCAGGCATTGCAACTGATGTCACAAGGCAATTTGTGTATACATTTTTTAATTAGAAACTAATTTGCACTCTGAACTTTCACCTAAAGCACAATCAAAATAAAAAATCAACATCTATATGAGACCAAAGATTAACAATTACTCCAAAGCAAAGATGAGAAGATAAAGGGGCAGGGAAACTAGAGTACTGAAAATGGAATAATCAGAAGGCAATTAAAGAGAATGCCGACACACTGTGAAAAACGTAACTAACGCCACTGAATGATTTGTGCAGAAATTGTTAAATGGGAACCTAACTTGCTGTGTAAACAAAAACACAATGAAATATTATTTAAAAAATAAAAAAAAATACTTTAATTACATTTCAGAACTTAATATATAGTTAATAGCAGGTTGAACACAAATGAAGAGTAAATCAGTGAACTAAAAGACAGGTGATTAGAAAAAACCCAGGCAAAAGCACAGAGAGAAAAGAATGGAAAATAATAGGGAAGACACAAATTTCCAATATCAGGAATGAAAAAGAAATATTACAGATCCTGCAGATATCAAAAAGGATAATAAGAGAATACTAAAAACAACTCTACAC